AAAATGCAGCCGTACGAAAAGGGGCCGTTTCTAGACAGAGCTCATTAAACCCACGCTCGCCCCCTTCACCGCGCGGGGAGGGGGCTGTTGCTTTGGAAAACGTTCCTCGTGTGTGTCCTCGTCAGCGGAGCAGAGTCTGCTGCCCTCGGGCTCTCCTCTCCAGCTTGACCACAGGGATTCGCAAGTGTGTGGCAAGCCGTGGGACAGGGACGTCGCCGCACAGAAGGTCGGTCTTTTCACTGGGCCCTTTTCAAAGCGCGATATTGCGGCAGGGGGATCTCTCTGAGCTGCTCTGCTCTGAAATGTATCCATCAGCAGGCAGGAACGGACCCCTTCCCTATGGACACCTCCACAAAACACGTTAGCTTTGGGGGTAGCTGCAAAATAATTTCTTTAAATGCCATTTTTGGGTGGATTCAACCCATTTTTTTAGATTCATCTGGATAAAAAAAGGGTTTTCTGCATTGCCAGACTCATTACTCAGGCTCTGCTATTTTAACCTAAAACTTACAATAATGTCTGGCATCCAAGGAGTGCTTTTATATTTCAAAGCGCTTTGCAAGCTGTCTGAACCCAGGTGTGTTAGCTCAGACTAAGCAGCTGTCAAAATCCGGGGGCCTGATTCTGCGTTGGCAACCCTTTCGCTTCCCCTCCTACACCTCCTGAGAGGGATTTTTTTTAGAGCTGGAGAAGGTAACAATTTTGGAAATCTGAAAAGCTGATGGGTCTGGAGAAGAGATGGAGGAGTGATGGAGAAACCCCGTGGATGCGGCACCGCCTGCGGTGGCTGCAGCAGGTTGCATTGCCTGCGCTTGGCACGGCATTAACATTTGGTGCGGATTTGCCTGGGAGATAATAGAAACTATCCCTGGGTTTTATCCCCTGATGGGATCCGTAAAGTTTTGTGGTCCCACATCTGCGACTGCAGTACGTGTGTGTGGGTGTGGGAGCGAACCCGTGTGACGGTCAGGACAGGCTGTGGTTTTAGCTCTGGCGTCCCAGGCTTAGTCAGGTTCTGCAAAGGAGCGAGGGTCCCGAGCCCCCGCTGATGCTCACCCCTGCTCGCCTGGGTGCTCTCGGCCCCTGAGAGCCGCGGAGGGCGGGCAGCGGGAGGGCTGAGCCGCCCGGGTGCTTGCATCTCCCAGCACAGCCTCGGAGCGTGGGGTATTGGCAATAAACCACTGCGAGGCCATAGAGAGAGGGGGATGCTTGGGGAGCGATGGCCATGTGCTCGAAGGGCTCCTGCGCCACACAGCGAGGGCTAATGCAGATGCCAGAGCTGCCGAAGGCTGCCCTGCTCCCCTCGCACGCCTGGGCTCCCCTGCTGTGAGCTCTGCAGTGAGGGGTGGTTTTCAAAAAGGACCAAGTCCTAAATTACAGATGGGGAAACTGAGGCACAGCAACGAGCCCATGGCCATGGGGAGGCTGCAGGGCTCCCAGCCGTGCTGGCCAGCGTGCCCGCTTGGGAGCCCCCCAGCCAATATGCACGGCCCCAGATGTGCAGGTCCAGGCTCCAGCTCCAGCTCCAGCTCCAGCAAGGGTTAAGGCAGCGGCTGTGAGATGGAGCCTGCAGAGGCCCCTGAGCTCCCGAGGAGGAAGATGAGCGTGGCGAGGAGACTGTGCTTCCTCCAGCATGAGGCTCCCCCACCGAGAAAATTGTCAATTAGCAACATAGTTTTAACCACACAGCGCAGATTCCCATGATCCGGTGGCTGCTCAGCCAGAAGCCCCCATTATTTGTGTTTATGTCCCCAGGGACCCCAGAGGCCCTGCGAGATCAGAATCTCACCGTGCTGCTGGCGGGACCGCAGGGGTTTGCTGTGTCTTCAAGCACTAACAGCAGCCAGGAGGGCTGGGAACCTGACGCCCAGCTCTGTGCCTCAGTTTCCCCACCTGCAAAGCATGGGAAGGCTGGGGGCGGAGGAGGAGGTTGGTGGCAGGGGCTGAAGGAGGGGCAGAGGGATCTGGACTGGTTCCTGCGGGATGCCGGCACTGCAGCCCTCCCCATCGCTCCTTTTGGGTGGCCATCGCTGCCTCCCTGCCTCTGTCCTCGGGGCACAGGATCAGGCCCCAGATTAATTTCGACCCCCTATGTCCAGAGGTGCTGCAAACCTCCAGCCCTTCCCACATGGGAAAAAGTCATTCCCTGCCCTCAGCAGCTCTGAAGGGATGGAGAGGGGACGGAGCAGGAGAGCATGGGGAGACCCTCTGCCAGCAGACGCAGGCACTCCCCGGTCGCAACACCAACAAGAGAAATGTGGCTGCTAACAGCTTTGCCTGCTTTCCCTGGTCTGCACAGCGGGGTTGCCCCAAAGGGGGGCCCACAGCCGTGCATCCCCCTTCCCTGTCCCTGTCCCCCCTTGTGCACATCACTTTCTGCCTCAGTTTCCCTAGCAAGGCGATGAGCAACACCAGCCCTGTACCAGCAAGGCACGGAGGCTGGCCGGGGCAGCTCTCAGCCCCCGGCACATCGCATGTGTGCGCACCCAAAAGCGTGCTGGCAGGCCAGCTCCCACCGCGCCGGCGGCCGCCCACCGCCCCCTCCCCAGCCCTGACCTCTGGAGCTGCTGAATCATGTCTTGGGAAACGGCTGGCGGCCCCGGCGCGTGCGGTCCGCCTTGCTCCCAACCCCAGCCAGGGCTGCCCTGCTTTCGCCAGGCGCGCGTCTCCCCGGGGTGCTCAGGTTGAGCTCGTTGGAGCTCGCAGGGGGAGCGGGGGTCAGGGCAGCAGCACGAAGCCCTCTCTGGGGACGGGGTTTGCTGCCGGGGGCAGCTCGGCCACCGGAGCCGTGGCACAGGGATGCAGGCGGGTGCTGCTCCAACGGGTGCTGCTGGAAAGGACGGTAGCTCTCCCAAATTACACCGCCATCCCCAGGGACACGCACTGAAAGTCCAGACCTCACTGTAAGCATCCCAGGGCAGCCCTGGCTGAGGGAGCAGGGGGTGGGTTTAGCTGGGACGTGCCATGGCCAAGCATATAAAGGCTCCCAAGGAGCTGGGGTTCACCCTAGGAGCCAGCTCAGTCCTGCCCTGTTGGCACAGCGGGGGGAAACCCCTCACCACGGTGCCAAAACTCTCCCTGGAAAAAAAACCCACAAAACTGGACCAGAAACTTCTACTGGGGAAGTTTGAGTTGGGACCAGAGCTCATCCACATGGTCCCCCCTGACACAGCTCGCTGCCCCTCACTGCACCTCGCTGCCCCTCGTCCCCAGTCCTGCTCTGAGCCCCATGACTGCCCACAGGGACACCAAAAGCAATGAGCTGCCCTGGGTGAATCCCCCATGGCATTGCCACGAGTCCCTCGGCACCCACCGTGGGCACCCACCACCCTCCCCGTGCTCGCGGGCAGGGGGGCACCCAGCTGCGCTTGCGGGTGGGGTGACGGCATGACCCGGGTGCCAGGCAAGGGGCTGGCCCTGCACGGCTGCTGGCCAAGCCCCGTGCCAAAGCTCATGGGATGGGGAAAAGTGGAATTTTGCATCCCCCAGACCTCTGCCATGTGTGGGCTTCAAACGCAGCCCCGGTGGGTTTGGTGTCCCCAGCCGCGGGGCTGTCGCACCTCTGGACCGCCCCGTCGGCTACATGGCGCGGGGCGCTGGGGGAATGGGCTCAGCCGTCAGCTGGCTCTGCCAGAAGGAGATGTTTGAGAAGGAGGCGGAGAGGGGACTCAAATGTCATTTTGGGTTCTCTGTGGAGGGGTCTTGCTAGGAAAATCCCGTTGCAGTGCTGGCAGCGAGCCTGGAGGGGAACCAGCTCTGCTCACCAGCACGGCCGGGGAGCCTCTGCTCTCTGCAGATCCCGTGGGCTCGGGGCAATAGCTCTCAGCCTCTTGGAAAACTTTTGGATGAGCATTAATAAACAGCGCATCCATCCAAAGGGTTCTCCGAGCACCCACAGCCCCCTGTCGCAGGAGCAAACCGGGAAGGACACAACCCGGCCTCCGGTCTCCTACCTGGGGTGGCTGGGGCTGGGTCCAGGCGGGAGCCTGCCCAGGGAGATCCCTGCATTGCTGGTCCCCGGGATGGTGGTGGGAGCTTTGCCTCTCGGAGAGCATCTTAGCTCTTTGCCAACAGGTCAGTGCAGGCACCTCGCCTGCCCCTCTCCTCGCCCTGCCCGTCCTCCTCTCCCCTCTTAAATAAGGGAAACAGCCTGCTGGTGCTGCACCCCACGGATACCCCAAGCTCCCGGCGGCCGCAGGACCCCGTGGGATTCCCACTTGGAGCTTTCCCGGGCTACCCAGACAAGGGCTGCACCCCCAGCCCACGCAAGAAAACCCACATCCCTCCGTTCCCCACCTCAAGAGCATCTCCCCATTTTGGTTTCAGCCGCAGGGCTGGTGAGCCGCCCGTCCCTGTCGCGCAGCCCCGCGCTGCCGGACGGTGCTCCCCACCCCGATCCCGGGG